CGGGGCCGCCGGGTTTGAAGTGAATGAAAACGCGGCTCTGCCCCCAGACTAGGCCATGGCGGCAGCAGGGATGGAGAGCAGGGGCTCGGCTCTCCCTGCGGCCCGGGAGGCACGCGGACGCCCGCGTCGCCAAGCCCACGCGCCCCTCTCCCCAGGCAAGGCCGCGCACCGGCCTCGCGCCTGCTCCTTCTGGGCCTCAGCGACGCCAGCGCTGGCTTGCCGGGCTGGGGTCTTTCTGGTCATGTGCGCAAAGTGGCAAGTGGGCAGCAGCCAGAGAGTGGGGAAACGTGAGTGGTTACTCACCGCAAGTATGAGTCACCTCTCTCCGTCTCTCATCTGAGTGTGTAGTAGGCAGGGGGCAGATACGAAAGCCGCTTTGTTTTTAGATTGCACCCTGCTCTGGTGGCAGCATCCTTCCTCAGACTAGCAGAGAGAAGTGAGTAAGTAATACCGTGCCGAAACTAAAAGTGGGTGAAACTATATGCCTGTGATTGCTATTAACAACACTACTGATTTATTAGCAATATTCACAGGGGAGATTCCTCAGATTTATGCTTCTTAAAAATGTTTCTGCTTTCTTCTTTTCCACTGAGGTCTCCATCTTCTAAAATACAAGCATTAAAAGTATGGGTTTGTCCACGTAAGGATGTGAAACACCACAGGATTTCTAAACTATGTAAATAGGAGGTCTGTAATTTAAGTTATTATACATGTTTTAATGGTATTAAAAAACAAGTGACAGGTGCAACATAAAATTATATTAATCAATTGTGAGGACGCAGGAGGGAATTACTTTATATTTTGAAAATATTTTTTTCTCCTGACAGGTGAAGGAAGAGTTTCATTTGGAGTTATCCACACCGTTTTCCACTCCGAAGACTGTTGTTTTAAGCTGTAGGTTGAATTTATGCAAGCACAGTAAAATTTGCAGTGTAGTCTGTAAAAGGAAAGCAGGCACTAAGTAGCGCCAGAAATGGCCGCAGTGTAATAAAGTTAAAAAATCATTTGCTCCCTAATCAGGAGCTGCCTCCCGTGTGAGCGTTCTCAGTGGCTTCAGTGCACCTCTTTATGCAAGGAAGAATTTGTGAAATCAGGCCATATGTTTTAAACCTGCAAGAAGATTCTTCTCCCTCGTTCTCAAAACCTTAGATCTCAAATAAGACATCTTCGCCTTAGGTAGCTATTTTAATGATTTCTTTGTTAAAAAAGCATTTGCTGATCAGAGATCCTTTAGCTCCGGAACGCGCTTTGCATGCTTGGTAACTGACGGAGGGATCCGTAACACAGCTTTCAGGAAAGCAGATCGGACTGATCAAACTTTTACATCATTGCTATGTAACCAGGAAAGCAAGCAGTTTTAAATATAACGGCAGCTTAATCTAGTCACTAGGGTCTCCCGCTATTGCAGCAGATGGATCTTGTCTTTTAACAAGGAAACAGTAATGTGAATCTCAGAAGTGTATAATCCAGTGAATTAGATTTGGCATTGTAGCAGTCTGTAATTCTCTTTACAATTTCAAAATTAAAAGTGAAGTTCAAGCCAAAAGTGGATTTCACTTGTAAAACACATGTATGGAGATGCGGACAGCGTCCTGATCATTGCCGTTCAGTAATGATCTTGGAATTTACTTAATTAAAGATTAGTCTCCACAGATGAATGAAAACTATTCTATAAGGTAGGATAGGGTTTGGGATTTTTTTTCTATTCTATTCCAACATTTCTACTCTATTGGAGGCTGAATTGCTGACTTGCTCTCATTTTACCAAGCATAATCTACTTCAGGCAACACTCTGAGACCTTAATTCATAATTCTTTCAACAGTGGCATCTTATTTATCTTTTGACATAAAACTACTCCCAGTCAAAGCAGATTAAGGCAAGTCTAATTCCAGTGAGCTCTGTAACGAAAGGCGCCTTCAAAAATACACACACCCATCTGTTGCACAAGATGAGTTGGCTCCTGAAAGCCCTGTGCTCTCAAAGAGCTTCTATTTCAGTTACTGGCAAATTATTGCTACATTTACACATTGAAATTATTCATGCTGCAGACCTTGAACATTTTGGAGGGTCCAAACACCACGTAGCCTCTGTGGCGACCAAAACCCTGGCAGACAACTTCAGCCTAAGAAAGCTCCGCCTTGGCAGGGCAGCAACAAAAAGTGGCTGTCACCTCTTCTCCTCATGGGAAACCTGACGGAAACTGTACCAGCAACAAGAAACCGAAAAAGGTGGGGGGGGGGCTGGGAAGGAGAGGCAGGGGCACAGCGACTAGGCAGCTCCAGCCTCCTTTGGCAGCGCTCTAATACAGCATAATCCATCAGCATCCAGAGCTGGAGAGGGCGAGCACAAGAGGATGCCTCAGGTCTCTCCCAGCGCTGGCGTCACAAGTTTTTATTGCACCACCTTAGTTTACAGCAATGCATCAATAATGCCAACTAGCGGCCAGTGTTAGCAACATTTTCCCAGATATGTTTCTTAAACACATCTATAAATAGTGAGATGTGCTTGTACTGGTGTCTCAGCTCACTGCAAAAATAAGAAACAAAATGCATTTGTTTCCAAAACAAAACCCTTCTTACCTCACTTGAAAATATAGCCTGGATATGTTTTGTAGAATTAAAGCTTGTCAGTGTTGTTTTAGGTTGTACCTGTATAGTTGATCACTGAAACAGCTTTGATCACTGGTTTTGAGTGTCCAGCCTGTGCACACCCGTGAGCTACTTTGAAGGGATGTGAAAATTCAGCTAAGAAAAAACAAATGCAACCATCTCAAAGTTTGCACACAGAGGTTAGGGGTGTCTGCCTCCATTGCAAAAATCAGAAAGGTTGAAAGACATCTTTGACTTCCACTACCAACTCAACAGCTCAGTGAGTCACAGTTGTGTGTCTCCATTTTGCTATCCTATTCAGAGCCGGCATGGAGGAAAGATGCACTGGACATGCTGCACTGGGCTTTCTCATGCATGAGGCCTCAAATAACTGTATTCTTGTTACAAGGAAACAGCTGCTCTACTTAGAAGCAAAATCAAGAAGCCTGTTCAATTTGTTGTTGTTGTTAGAATACCTTTCCATTGTCTTCAATCCCCTTTTTAATTATAACAATAACATCTTCTCTCATATCTGGGCCGTCGTATTGAGAACAGTATTTTAATAATGATAGCATAAATTCAGATGGAGGGAGAAATTTTCCTTTGAACTAACTCTGCTTTTTCCTTTCTGACATGAGCTTTTATGATCCGAGCTGTGCCACCACTGGGAAGTGGAGATCTAGCCCATGCTGTGAAATGGCAGTAAGGAAGCTTAAAGGAAATTGTCCAGGAAAACCGCCTTAACACAGAATTGATGCACAACTGGTGTAATTAGTCCTGCAAAGCCCATAACATAAGGTGATAGAGGGCGTACTAGGCAGAGAAAACCTGAGCACTCTCTACTCTGAAGAGTAGAGAGCTGCCTCGCTCGCTCTGACCGCAGAGCACAGGCAGAGATTTGTGCATGGCTGGAAGTGCATCCTCCCAGTACCCCATACGATCCTCTCTAGCTCAGTATGGAAGCGATCACTGCCAGTCTAATCCTACATGTAGCTAGCCTCTCCTTCTATTTTGTCAAATAACTTGGCCTCACAGCTTGCCCTCATGTTGTGGTCCTCGACTGGAAACAGGGCACTTTCATGAGCTTAATTCTGGATCGCTTTTGAAGCAAGCAAACCAGTTGCTTTGGCTGAAACCTGGGTAAGGTTTGCTCCAGGACTGCTCCCCAGAGGCAGTATGGGCAAAACTCTGCCAGAGCTGTCTCCCTCTGTGTAATATTCTACTTGGTCTTCCCCCTCAAAAAATCCCCTTACAGCTTCAAGTCACTCTCCAATATATGCAACATCTTCTTGTTTTAAAAGCAGCACGGTGAGGGCTGTGACACATTATTTCAGGCATGTGGAGTTGAAAAAAAAAAAAAACACAAAAAATGTGTCTAAGGGAGACCACAAGGGGTTCAGAGGAGACCAAGGCTAAGAGTTACG